TTTTAATATGTAAAGTTGTAATATTTGCATAAAAATTATGTAATATTTACACTCGATGTAATAATTGCATAATTTTTTGTATGCTTATTTGCATAATATTACAGGCCTGCCATAAACTTACATAAATAGTGTAATAATTACGTAAATCTGCATCAGAAAAATTTCCTGATGCTAATCAATGATTAAACATAACATAATACATTAGAGACCATATACAATCTAATGAATGGATATTTTTCAACAATATACATTTTTAAATCTGATATTAGCGCTCACATCGTTGAATGCTTTAGGGATGATCAGATTGACAAATGACTCTCTATATGCAAATTCAGTTGCATCTGGATCCTCTCATCGTCTGTAAAGATTTTGTTAACTGGGTCCATTTGATTTCGCTCAGAAAGGTTGATAATATGATAATCAAAAAGACAGTGCTCCACTCTCTTCATTTTCACAATGAACTGTTGGACTTCAGCTGACACATCATTAATTTCATCATCGAGAAATAAATCATCATCCTTGCTATTAGATTGCATTATTGTTTGAGGAATCATTTCCATCTTATCAGTTCAGTTGATTTCTGCGAAAAAGTAGCAATGTTCGTCTCATCATTGAACACTAAATTGTCATCCACTTCCATACTGATTGTTCTGATCTGTGCACACATTTCAAAAGAGTTAAAAGACATGTCTGAAAACTAAATAGTAAATTATATTCAGACCTTGCCTAATGATATCGAAGGTAAATCTTTCTCATAAGATTGCTTTTGTCCTATTATGGTACCCACTTCTTCCTCTCTTGATATCTCAGCTTGTTCCAGTATGTGTGAATTACTTTATTAACATACTCATTAGATTTCTGACTACAAGAAATACAGAGCACATCCAACACTTCTATCTGCAATTTCTTATCAAAAACATCCTAGAAAATTGCCAAATGATCATGTTAAAATCAAAATACTTTAATTCGTGATCCGTGAAACAACTGCAAAATTTTCATAATTTGGCGCAAAATTTTGCAGATCACTAATTAAAATTTTCTGGACTCCAACTTTCACCCCCCAACGTAACCACCCTTTATGTTGATATAAACTAAAATTGTACTTTTAACAG